TACACATCTATCAAATAAATGAAAGTAAAAGCAAGTACTGCAGTAACTTTCACCAACTTGTCCATACCTGTCAACCCCTCATAATAAAAGGAATATTTTGCAAGGCACACATACCTTTTTGTGGGTTATTTCCTACAACAATCTTTCTTCCATGAAATGTAGCCTTTTTGCTCACAGACACAGTACGTATAAAAGCTCACAAAAGATAAAGTTCATTCCCATTATATAATCTCCAGATTAAATTAAGCTCCTAACAACAAGAGGCATCATATATGCAAATCATTCAATAACCTACAGACAAGCAGGAAAGGCGAGGCTAACGTTTTTTCCTTGGGGCATTTCTAATCAAATTCTAATGAATCTGAATGTAAAATTATCCCTCATTTAATTACAAATTTCACTGATAAACTGGTGCCTAGAGGAGAGTCCAAATAGATTAGAGAGGGAAAACGTGACCTTTCCTGAAATACATTTCCTAAACCCTGAGAGATGACTGGTTTTCTGTTAAAACTGGATGTCTGTAAATAAATTCCACATCAAACCAACTCTTTTTTTCCCCCACCTTAAAGGTACTACTAGGCTTCATTTCTGGATGGATAGCATAGAAAATGTAAAATAGGAGCAACAAGCAATGCCTTCTTGGGAAAAAAGAAAAGAAAAAAGAAAAATATGAATATACATATGTTTCACTAAGTCTATTTCAATTGAAAAGAAAAAAAATTGGGCCACATTTCAGCATTCACAGGCTCACCAGATTAAATGTGAAGGATGAATAATACAATCAAAACCAAGACTAGCCAACAGAAAAAAAATTAAAATAAAAAATCAGAACCAAAAAACAAAGCCCCATATTTGGAGTCCTCGTGCTTTCCTACTGCACAAACAGATTTCTAGCTTGGAAGTGATCAAAACAGAAATCCCTTTCCCCAGATCATATCCAAGCTGTAATGCTCTATCTATGTGGTTTTAACTGAACCCACAGTGGCAATTCAGACGTTGGTGATGGAAACATCCCTGAGGCTAGCAACTATTTTGCTTCAGACTGAACGCACCTTAACACAATGTTCCAGTTTCAGGTCGTCCAGGTCAGCATAGTGCTTAGTAAAATCAATCCGCCATTAAAACATGGTATTCTTAGGATCAGCTCTGCCAAGTGAATTAGTGTCAAATAAATAGAAAAGTGGATGGTCTAAGCATTTTAATCCACTCCAAGGACCTTTTATGGTCAAGCATACGGAGGCAGGATAATTCAGGCACAGAAGAACAAATACGACCTCTAATAAGCCCTTAAAAAGTTACTTTCTGCTACTTCCTCAAAAAGTTTGTCTGAATCATCTGAAATAACATGACCCACCTTTCTGGCACAGGTATGATTAAGACACTTGACTTTACAAGGCTCTACTCCCTGATAGAAGCAAGAAAATGACCTTCATAAGAGGCATTTGAGCTGACAGGAACTTTAAACAGCTTTGTCAGAAGCACATTCCTGTAGACCTGCCCCCCAAATGACTACCTGAAGTAAGGGAGACTGTGAGAGGGAAATGTGATTTGGCTTAGGAAGCATCAAAAAGTGACTAAATCAAATCTAAAAACAGAGAGAGATTGCTAATGAAATTTCTTCAGTAAGAGAGATCTTCAGGTGCATCGAAGGTCTTGGAAAACAGGCAGCTCCAGTGAAACAAAGAAAGGGAAATGAAAGCATAAAAGAAAGGGAATATGAGTTGAAGTCACTGCAAAGGAGATATTTGTGCAACCACAGTGGATACCAAGCAAATGCTGGCACTCACAGTTACTATTTCAACACTGAAAATGAGAGTGGAATGGCAATTCTTGCAATTCACGTGATTTCCTTGTTTAACTGTAGCATATGGACAGTTTCTCCTCAAACCCTCCAGAAGAGCGTGGTTTGCTTGCTTCTGTTTTGTGTCTTGCATTGTTTTGGGGGGTTTCCTTTGTTTGTCACTTGTAAATTAACTCAGGCAGGACAGCCAGACCATTTTTCCAAAGAGCTTCAGCCTCAGTGAGAATACTTTTAAATAGCCATAGCTTCAAGAAAAACACAGGGTGCATGAAACCTTCCAAGCAGGCTTACCATTGGAAAGACGAATTTGCACTGAGACAAAGCCCTAGGCAGTATAAATTAATCCAAATTTTCAGTGTGAGTGGTTACAACTGAAGCAATCCAGGCAGTGTCAAGCATGCAGGATTCCCCCAACTTTAAAAAAAAAAAAAAAAAAAAGTCATCTAACAAAATTCCACTTGAGTGACCATATCTATAGAGATCTTCAGGTACAACATAGAGCAAGATAAAACCTCAATTTTTGGCCTTGTTGTTCCATTCTGATTAAGAGTTATTCCAGGAAGTCTCCATCTTCAATTCTTCAGCAGATAACACTCAGGTTTTTACAATAGAAGAATGTCTAGTTCAACAGCTTCAAAAATACATCATCTTTAGATTACACACATACCTCAGCAAAAATGTTATTAGTAATCACTTCGATTCCACTTTTTCCCTGTATGCTTCTGAAAGCGGAAAGGTAGAAATAAAGCAGTTTGTCCTGGAATTTAATCCCAAAGGCTGTAGTCTGTTATTACCATTATTTACATACTGCTACTGCAATAGGGAAATACTGCACTTTGCATTACTGTAACAGGAAAAAGAAAAATAAGGAGGGGTACACAATAAAACCAAACTTGCTTACTTGGAATACTCTAAAGTATGTGAAGGGCTGGTCTTAGAGGCAAACTATCAAGATTACAGAATAAAGCACATGGCTGCCACTACAGAAGCAATCACACTAACCTTGCCCCAAGGGAATTTACATAAAATATCTTCTAATACTGCTTTCCTTATCCAACAAGCCAGAGCCACACACAATAAGCGGATGAACATGCATGATCTGTAAAGACAACTGCTTTCAGAATGCTCCATTTACTTAGCAAGTATTGCAATAAAAGCAGAAAGAATGTGAAAATAATTCATTTACAAAGGTCATTTTAAAGGCGCTTCCATCTCTCAGCAGTGTAGGATTAACAACTCTATGGTTATTAAGAGACTTAATATCATTTATGCTACAGTAGTGCCCAGAGGCTCCAGCTGAGACTGCGGCCTCTCTTGAGTGGAGTAAGTATTGGAAAATTACCGTACTGACTGACATAAAATGAGAGTTCTCTTTAATATTGCTTTTTTTTTTTTAAGCATAACCTTTGTTTAAACCAAATTATTATCTCTGGAAGCTTTACGGCAGTTCTCTTGCTGTTTAGCTTATCTGTAGTTTAAATATCAGTATGAAATACAAGCATAGTTCATACTTCAAGCAAGTGCATATGTTCAAACAGAAAGCTGTAAGCATAGCATTGAAACTCATATGCCTTGTACTTCTGCCATACAGCCCATGGGGTCTCACAGACAGATACACAATCCTTCATTTATCATTATCTGCATAAAAAGAGATTTGTATGACTAGGCTGCAGTCTATACCCTCCACAGGAACAACAACAACAACAATAATAAATAGGTGTATGGAAATTTTGGGCCTGTAACTAACAAAACAATCTAGGATAAAATAGCAGGCTCTCAGAATTCTCAACAAGACCAAACTACTGAGTGTTAAATATTAAGCAGAACAAGTAGAATCTGCATGAACTTAGAATTACACAACCACAGAATCATTAGGCATGGAAAAGACCACTGAAATAACCTAGTCCAACCATCAACCCATCCTCACTATGCCCACTAAACCACGTCCCTAAAACTTCTTAGTCAGAAGTCGTAGGGGTTGGAAGGGACCTCCACATGTATTTGAATAATATGTAAATAATTCTATATACCAGGGATAGTACAATGTGCTGTTGAAGTGCAATGTCTTTCTCCATTTTTTCTGCTGACACTATTTCTTCCAAAGTACAAAAGCTATACTGTAACACCCTGCAATTTTTTTTTTTGTTTTATACTGATTAGATCACAGATGCGATTTGTTAGTCTTAATTTAAGACCTGTTGGATGAAAACCAGCAAAGATCTCTTCAGGAAGTCTTCAAAAAAATTAAAATTTTAAATCATAAATTATTTAAAAATAATTTAATAACCTTAAGCACCAAGTCAAAAACACAAACATCCCTCACAATTTTCTACCCTATATAAGACAGATATTACACTCCCATTTATTATGAGACTTTGTGATAAAACAGAAAACTAGTAATCAAGTAAGTATTCAACAAACCAAAGCATGTTGTCATGACAGCCATAAGCTTGACATCAGAAGAAATGTACCCCAAAAGGACACGGCATTTCCTGATCATCACAAACAATAGGAAGCCAGTACCATCTGTGGCTCTAGTACATTCACCACCATGTAGTCATAAGCTGGATCATAAAAGCACAGGCAGAACTTTTCTGTAGTTTGCTTCTCATTTCAGTGACAAAGTTGGCACAAGTAATAAGCACTGTCATCATTTCTCAGTATTTCTTCCTGCATCTGACAGGTTTGTCCCTGTCCTGTCCATCGTAAGCACATTTCACAAAAAATTTTGGTTCATTGCAGTACAATTCTGAGCATTTTAACCAGTTTCTTAAACTAACTTCCATAGTTTAATGTTGGAGCTGAACAATGTGTTCCAACAAACCATGTCTGGAATTCATATGATCTTAAATGTTTAATGAACAACAGATTTTCAGTGAGCATCCTTATTATTCTGTCTCAGGGAAGGATCTTACCAGATAGCAAAGCTTAATTTTTCATTCTTTCAAAGAAGAAACTACTTCATTAGAAGTATGACAGATCAATTTCCACTTTTACTCACGAAAATCGAAGTCTGAAGCACAGTACAGAAATTCTAGTAGGTCCACTACAAAATTAATATTTCACACAACAAACATTTTGAATTTTCATTTTAGAAGTTGCCTTCTTTGTTACATACCTCAGAATCACCTATTAAGATCTACAGGCAAATTTCACTACTAAAAATGAATCTGGAAAAGTAATTCAATAAGTAACTTACTGTAAATTGGCTACTTTTACTGATACAGGAACATGGGGAAGCTGAGTGGCCCACTTCAGTGTAATATCTTGATAAACATACAGCATTTTACTATGGTTTCCGACTAGAGTGTTTATTGTTCCTTCTTTCACTGTAGAAATATAAAAACAATTTAAAAGTGAAAGCTATTATCATAAGCCATTACCTTCTTTATTCATTACCAAACTATTTATTCATTTATTTCCTTTTAAGACATCACTTGTTTTAAAACCATTTGTAGAATTTTAAAGCGTTAAAAATTATGAAAGTTACACTGACAATAACCCAGGGTGTATGTAATTAATTACAAATATCAATTCCAATCATACAACACACATGCCAAAACTTTTCAAGGTTCTAGCCAGATGTGTTTTATAACGTAAGATATGAATAATAAAGACTCATAATTATCATGTTGGCATGCCAGGATAGGTATGACAAACACACGTTTAAATAATATCAGTTAATTACATTCTTCATTAATGCACTGAACTGCGAATACTGATTAAAGATTCATACACTTAAACGTTTCATTTATAACGGAAATCAGAAAGCAATCAAGAAGCAATTTAGATCTTCTACAAAACTTACAAGTCTTAAGAACATGTTAACCTACTCTATATTAACGTCTGAAAAGCTTTCTTTGAATAACAGAAGGTTTTCCAACACTAATCTCTCATTCTTCCACGTTTGGTGATTTGGTAGCCTGGGCAAATTTACTGAAACACCAAAAACACATCATATTCGATGATGAGAAAATAAGCTATTTAGATTCCAAAAGTCATGGTATTTCAGATTAACAATATTGGAAAATAAATCTAAGAAGAATGCAGCTATTATTTTGTAGCTTTTCTATAATCAATAGCATATTTAAAAGAATATACCATCAGTGGTATAAAAAAAAAAAGAGGCTACGGAAGTAACAAACCTAAAAGTTTCAAGTTGAATTTTACAAACCTGAACAATAAGGAATGAAGCAACTTGGACTGTAATCAAGCTTTTTCATGAAGCGAATTTGTCCATTATCCTTCAGGCAGAAGAGGTTTCTCTCACCAAGTACAAAAACAGAAGAAACTGCCTGATTAAAGGAGACAATGCATATATCCAGTGCTTGTTCTCCAATGTTGAGAACCCAATCCACCTTTGAAAGAAAAAAAGAAGAAAGTACACACTTGAGATCAGCTGACAACTGCAAATTTAAGAAAAACTCAAAAATACACAGAGAAAGCTCAGAATTAATCCAGCTATAAAGGTACCAGTAGCATAAGTGAAAAAGAAAAATCAAGGTCTAAAATTCTCCAAAAACAGAGTAATAAAATCATTTAAATCTGCCACAGTACACATCCTTAGGGTAGTGTTAGGGAGAAAAAGTGAGAACTTATTCTACTGATATATAATTGGAATCACAGACAAAATTTAAGCCCACATAGATACTTGCACACAATAACGTACGCCCTTCAATCTGAAGAATGGTTCTGCAGATGAAAACATATTTACTTTTCCAACTTCATGCACTGATATAATAAAGGACTATTTCAAAACCCTTCCTTACCTACATCCGTACATGTTTAAGCAATATTACTGCTTATCAATAGCTTTCATTAGTTTATTTCAGCTCCTTTGAAAAAACTTTAACACGCATGTGCAAAAATTGCTTTTGACACTGCCATGCTGGTTAAATAAATTCAGAATTTCTGAAATCAAAAGCCATTCAAATGTCATCACTTCCTAAATTAACAGCATCAATCTTTTTGCTTAAGAACAGAATGTGTTAGTAAACATAATGGCATACCTCATATACAAAACTGGAAGTGTCACCTTGAAAGAAAATATTACCTTTGCTTCAATGTATGCTTCTCAATTCATATTTAAAAAATCATTTTATTTACAGTATGTTTGAGGAAACTTCTAAATTTCTTATTAAAAAAATAATGCCTTCTCCTAATTCAAAGTATAGGATTCTGGTTGACTTAACACGAAAACATTCTACTACTACCCAATGTAAGGAAAAAGTTCTGCCTATATTTTGTTGTCATACCTGAAATAAGCTAAATCAGCATTTTGCATAGTATAGTGAGTGGACAAGCAGTTCTAAAAAGGAGCAGAGCCTCAAATTCTATTCCTCTCAGCAACAGGAGGTTGATTATTAAACAGTTTATTAGCCACAAGGCTCTCCTGAAGATCACTGACTTAACAGGTTTTGGAAAGAAGAGACCAGGATACTGACTATTTATAGAAACATATTTTTCAGTGCTGAGTTTTCTATTAAAGTACAAAGGACGCTCCAAGTAGAGTCAGAAATACAGTCTAGAATTACCACAGATCAGATTCTGCGCTAGAAAGGCAAAGACTGCCCTGAGAAACAGCTATTTGCAGTGTACAGTTTTAGTGCTTTTTCTGTTGTTATTGTTTTTCTGAGAACAGCAGTAAGTATTAAGGCCCAACTTGAAACAACTAGGGCTCAACAAAATCCTAATAGAAACGTACAGGAGACTTTCTGCTGCCTTTTAAAAGCAACTGGATAGGATTCTTCATCACCAGATAATGTTTCCATTCATTACTTAGCACTGGTCTTTTTTGAATGCATACCAGCTACCATATAGGTTATGTAAAATAAACAGCATTTACCACAAGTTTCTTTCCAGAACTAAGTTTCTGTTGTACTGTTTCTTGTCTTCCATCAGCGTCGGTTGCAAATGCCAGCACTTGGTATCTATTATAGGAAGTTCAAAAAAAAAAGTAATACAACAAAATACAATGTCTCTGTAGTTAAAACCTTTACATTAAGTAAAAATAAAATACAATTATTCATATTTTGAGTATACATAGCAAAAGCAGAACCTAAAAAACATTGTCAGAAAGCCTACCACAGCACAGCCATAATCAGCAAAGATGTTAGAATAAACACTGTTGCAGAATAAAAACTATGCGTAAGGCAGAATTTAGAAGAAGGATTCTACTCAGGTTTTCTCTGATGTTAATGTAATTCAACAGCTAACTATACTAAAGGATGGAAATACCTTGCAAAAGAGACAGATGCAAGAAATCAGCATCTTTTCAATTTGTGAAGTTAAAATAGCAATTAAAAAATTTTTTTTTAATTCCCCCAATAAATTTTAAAATAAACTACTGTATTCAGAGACACTGTCCGGACACACAGAGATGGGATCAGGAAAGCCAAAGCACAGTTAGAACTGGACTTGATGAGAGACGTGAAAAATAACAAGGGACTCTACAGATTGAACATTGGTCAGAAGAGACAGGCCAAAGAGAGTACACCGCTTCTGATAAATGGGAAGGGAAACCTGACAGACGTGGAGAAGGCTGCAGTACTCAAAGAGTTCTTTGTTTCAGCCTTCACTGACAGCCAGGCTTCTCAAAACCATGAAACTCACATTCCTGAATCTCTAAGAGGGGTTGGGAAAGCAAAATGCCCTTCACTGTATGAGAAGAACAAATGTGGGACCACCTCATGAAGCTGCATGTGTACAAATGGCGGGACAACTTGCATCCCAGGGTTCTGAAGAGAGCTGACTGGTACGGTTGCAGAGCCCTCTCCATCATATTTGAAAAGTACCTTTATTTGCAGTCCATCCACCCTCTCCCAAATTGTTAACAGAGTGTCTGTAATGTGTTCGTGCAATATCTACAAAAATGTCTTATTAAGTTTTAGCAGAATAAATCAAAGGCGGTATTGCTTGAGAAATGCAGGTGATAAAGTAGAATAATATATGACAATAAGTATCACGTTAGATTAACATTACCTGGATTAGATTCTTAAGATGTAATTTGTAAATAGTAATTAAGAAGTGGCATTTGCATTTTTATATACTTACTTCAGCACACCTTTACCCTTTCACACCATGAGCCCTTCTGATAAAAGTCAAAAAACGCCATTTTTATTTCAGGTAGAAAATGAAATTCAAAAATACAATGCTTCCATATATTTCCAGGAAGTTACACTTCACAAATAATTCCCTTCTACACAAAATACTAGAATGGTTCCTTAAGTGCTCTACATTATGTTGTAGTCAACACAAGTCCCAGTGCAGCCTATGAATAATGATAATTGCAGTCAGTGTGAAAATAAAAAGCGAAAGAAAGAAAATGGCCATGATGGGTAACAAAGATGGGGCATTACACTTGGCCTCTCCCACTACTGGAAGCAAAATAACTTAAGCTCAGGAAAAAGATTTATGACAACTGCATTCAAACTATTTCACAAAATAAAGAAGATTTTTTTTCCTGTATTTATTTCAACATTATTTCACAGAGATATCTAAGGTGGATGCATAGTAACGTTTTTGTTCCACTCTGAAATTTTCAGTAGCATCTGTTGCTCAGTGAAGTGTTTTAGTGTACCTAAAACCAGAAAGCAAAAAAACACCTGTGAAGGTGAAATTAATGCAGCTTCACAGAAAAAGAAGCGGAGATCAAGTAACGCAATCTCTTCATAACATTGAGGGAAGAGATGTTGAAAGACATTTTAGGAAGGCAACAACCAGTGTTTTCAGTGCTTCCTATGTAGTTCAGTGTTTTGAGTGCTTCCCAAGTTCTCTACTGCTTAACTGCAGAGAATAGTTACCAGAATTAGCAGTAGAAGACATTCCCAGAAGTAAAGCAAACTCAAAATATTTACCAGAGACTGAGAAGGTTACATAAGTCTAAAAAACAAAGTTGCAGTTGCACTTTTGATGCCGTACTCTAAAATAACTTCATATATAAGTTGATGTACAAGCTACATAAGTCAACAATGAGGTAGACTCAAAACTACTTGAACTGAAAGGTTCAGAAGGTGGTGAACAGTGCCACAAAGTCCACAGGGAGACTTGCACAAATGCTATATCCCAGGATTCAATGTGGGATACTAATTTCTTGTGTGTTCAAGCAACAGTGAGGCTACAAATAGAATTTTAAGAATAAAGCATCGTCCATTTATTACCTTCATGAGTAAAGAATGAGACACCATTTGCCATAATATGGACACATGTTGAAAAGGCAGAACTGTTATTTTTCAGTTATGATCAAGAAGGCAGCTAGTGTCTTATTTTAACATAAAAAAATATTCTTCAAAAGCTACATAGAGAAAATGTGTCTTCATAGTACAGAAATGTGCACTGTATTCATGTGAAAATGCTGGTGGTAGGAAGACAATAAATAGTAATAACTGATTAGTATTGTTAATCAAAATAACCAGGCTACAATATCTGTACAGAAGGAGCATTATCTGCAAGCTCCTAAATTTCACAGTATCATTTGTTTGCAGTCTTAAAATATGTAGAACCAATCTGTCTTTCAAGACACATTCAAATATTTACTAACAGTAGTGGAGTTGATAGTAAACAGCTTACCAGATTTAGTTCAGAACGAGACAAGCAATATAGCTTCTGCCCTAACCCTCTATTTTCTTTTTCTTTCTTTTTTTTTAAATCCCTTTTTGCAGTTTGGCATCATCCTTGCATTTCAGGACATTTATTCTTATATTTGAGGTCTTTGATGAGGGTGTTAAAGAAATATTGGCTCCAGTATCGTCTCCTGAGGAACATCATTCATCTAAGGCTGTTAGTCTGAATCGACGGCTACTCTGGAAGTCTGACAGTTCTGTCACATTTTCATCCATCTTGTAGTTGGTAATTCTCCACCACCACTCACCACCCTGCATTTATTGTTAGCCATAAAAATTCAGACGGCCTAAGAGCAGACCTTATCAGCTCTAATGGAGAAAAGATGAGGCAAAGCAGGCCCTGCTCTAAATGCAGTAACATCATAGCTCTGCATCTGTACATGACTTCTAGCTCCTTCTCTTTGTTGCCCAGGCTGTAAGTGTTTGTGAACATGTACTTAAGATGGGCCTCCTCTCATCACACTTCCTTTAAGGAACTCTGAAAGCATTCCCTGCTGAGCATTTAGCCCTCATCTGCAATTCCGACATTTACGTGAAGTATTTGGCACCTATCCCTCAATCTAGAGCTCCATGAGGTTATCAAGACTCTACTGACAGGTGAACTCCAATTCTCCCCACCAGCCCTTATTGCCTTAAGAAGACCTCATGTTCAAAGTGTCACCGCGAATCTCTTCTAAAAACTGAACAGATTAATGAGATTAGCAAATATTTGCAGCAAAACAAAACATTTCACTGAAAAAAAAAAAAAAAAAGGTGTTTGGAAGAACCATCATCTTGCTTTAGCAGTACAGTACAGACAAAACGGAATGGAAAAATTAGACAGAACCGAAGAAAGAAAAAGTCTAGCACTTGCAGGACTGTGTGATGAGTCTTCAATAATACAACAAACTCAAATAATTACAGAATTAATGTGACTATAAATTACACAGGAAACACAGTTTGCTTTTTTCAGCAAAGATAATTAAAAAATCACATGTGGTTATTTTTGTTCACATATTAAATAACAGCACCAAAATATGCCATAACTACTGAATATGAGCACTTACTTGTAACTCTCAACCTGTCGAGAGGAAGACACTGTAATGAAAGAGTCTGTCCGAGAGCTGTAAGCCAAGGGACCAGGCAGAAGGAAACCAGGTAAAAAACGGCCAAAAGCATAGCTTTCCTGTTCAAATAACATTAGCATCCCATCCATGGACTGTATACATATCAAATCTCGACCTAAGAAAGAAGAGCAAAGGGAAGATGTATAAAGGAAACAAAACAACATTAACTAGACAATTGAACTTTTAACAATTGCAGAATGCAAAGTTGTACTTACACTAATAGAAGTAGGACTAATTTCAATTCACGTTTACTAATACTAAATATTCCAACTTTAACTTACTTCTTGCTTACTATAAAGAACAAACTTAGTATAAAAAAATAAATCTAGATAATTAGGTGTTTTGGATGTCATTCAGAATATATTAAGAACATTTTAAAGCACAATTCCTGACATTCTAACTACTACAATTGTAGTTTCAAGAAATGTTTCAATACTCCCAGGGGGAAAAAAAGAAAAGGCCTCTATACATCACAAACAGTCATAACAACCACGAATTAAAACTAAATAACCTATTCTAGTCTTTCAAGAGTAGTTAAACAACATAACAAGAATTCCTACAAATATATGTTGCTGTTAAAAATAGTACTATGGCAATGTTTTCCACAGCCTGCATTCATATTTTCTGTCTTCAAGGAATGAAGAAATAAACAGATTCACTCCATTTGTTGCAAACAATATTAAGAGCAGAAAAAGTCAGCTCGGAGTAAATGACTTCAAGCCCTCATTTTATAGCCTGAAGACATGACTTGATATGTCTCTAAAACACCAAGCTAAATACAAAGCTTCATTTTGACACATTCTGAGGTCAGAGGCCGATTATGAGTTTTGCATTTCATATGTCAATGCAGTAATCCAAGCAAACAATGTTTTCCATGTATTTGAAGAGAAAGCCATACCAATAAGATTAATAGCTTGGAACCATTAATGGAAATATCTTTCCTGAATTCAAAGAAAAGCCCCAATCTGGCAAACATAACACAAAATAATGTTATTCAACATAAATTTATCTGCATTAAAATACTCCACCATATCTAGTATATAATAGAGCTCTAATATATAAATGGAGAACTTGAAAAAAATTCTTTGATCACTCAAAGTCCATCCCCAATACTTTAAGACTGTTTTCCAACACAAGAAGATGAACTGAAACAGAAACAAAACAAAAACTCTTTCTTACACTTACGTAGCGAAGGTAGCATAAAGGTCAAGATCACATTTAATACTTGAAAAAGCACTAAGTGTAAAATACAGGGGAAAGTACTGTTCATCTCTACTGCGATTCCTCATAGAAACTAAGTACTTGAAAATAAATAGTGTAATAGGTCAGCAGTGCATCGTTCTTGTGACCAAAGCAGACAGGATTTAATTCAGAGTAACAAGGGTCTTCCCCACTCGCCCTCTCTACCCTCCATACCTCCCCACCACACTGCTTCAGATTTTCCCATAATCTAAAAATCAAATTCCTCCATTCGTTTTTCCAAATTCTGCATGCAGTTCAGTCGTCTTCTATCAAGACTGTTGCAAATGCCAACCAGGAGCAAGAAAAGACATTTGAAAATGTAATTCATTTTGTTCACCTGACAGAGACTAAATTCAATTATTCACTTGTGAAAATATTTCAATCCTTCCCATCAAGATTTAAAAACAGAAGAGCAAAAACAAAAAAAGTATCAAGAACGTAGTATCAGGAAGGCTTGTGCTGAATGCCTGTTTCTTACCTTATGTTCTACACATGCCTTTTCTGAAAACTTTAGAGGCACTCTTATTCAAGAGTATTGTTGGTATTGTCTGCTTGAAAACAATTCGTGCATATGCGTGTGTGTATACATATAGCTCCAAAAGTAATGCCTCCTATTTATTTCCATGGAAACTACAACAGATACAAAGAGCACAATAACACTATTTGATAAAGCAAATTCTCAACACAAAAAACTGTTTTTCAACCTAGACAACACCAACAGGTATGCAATTCTGCCAGTGATGAACAGGAGACTGATCACCATGCTTATAAAAGTCTGCGCCAGAGGAGTGACCCAGTGTTTCACAGTTGCTATGGCCACGCCGTTGCCCACACAGTCCAGAATTTAGGAGGTGCAAAATCTGGACTATACAATGTATGTGATAGTACAGTACGAGCAACATCAGCAATGTGCTCCACAGTCTCAAACTGGAGTTGGATCTGGCATTATCATAGAATAATCGAGGCTGGAAAAGACTTCATGTAGCCCAACGATCCACCTACCACCATCACTGCACACATGTTGCAAGTATGATCAGGTGGCCTGCTTTTTTGGTTTGGTTTTTTTTTTTTTTTTTGCTGTGACTTCTTACTTTGTCTACTCTATTCTGTCTAATAAATTGTTTTCATTTCCTTTAATTTCCATATTGTACTTTAGTTAAGGAGCAAAGATGAAAGCGGCTACAAGAAACTTTGAATAGATAATTAGTTAATTAAACAAATTAATTGGTATGTGGTTTATAACACGTTGTTCTCAGAGAAGTCACGATATGGTAAACAGGATAGGTAATTCCCAGTTCAGCTTCCTTTCATGGGTAACAGCTCTAGAAGGGCTGGTAATTATGAAATTCCTCAAACAAAATCTTACTTTCTCAAGCTAATACTAACTGTATTAATCTTAAGTAACTAATTAAGTAACTAATCCTTACTTAGATTCTGATGGGGAAAGAATTCTGACAAATGGAGAGAAGCGTGGACAGGATATAGTGTTGCAAGAGAAAGGTTGTCTTCTTCTATGGCCTGACTCTGAAAGTTTGAGCCTTCAGCTTACACAGTATCACAATGTAGCACCTAGAGGTGGTTTGTTCAGGTTCCAGGCAATTCAGAAAAATCACCTTTCCTATCCCAAACTACAGTGCATATTTCTTCACCTGCTCAGAGCTGCATCTTGAACTTGTTTTTCAAGGGGAAATTTGTGTATTGCTACTCCATGGACTGCAGTTTTGTCTCTAGCTTGTAGCAGTGACACCACTATCACCATTAATAAAGCTGCAACCCAGGAAACTGCCACCTTCTGCCTTGTGTTAGTTCAGTTGGTCCTGACAGCCTTAAATAGTGTTCCCTTCTGTTCCTCTGCGAGCATTTGTGGGATCCACACGGAGCAAATTGTGTGATATTCCAACATTGCCACTGCTGTTTCCAACATGCTGAAGCTGATATTCAGCTCCATACACAGTTCCTTGGTGGCAATCTGCCAATTTGCATGGATGAGTTGATTGAGAGTCTCTTCATTTTGTGGTGTGACAGCTATGCAGGGCCATCTCAAACATGGCTTGTCTTTCACATCGCTGTCACCACTGCTGAAAAGCACCACTCACTGCCTCACTGTAATCACATCCACCATTTGATTCCCATAATCATTCAGCAAGCATCAGTGAATACCTATGGATGCCATTTAATCTGCCTGGAAGAAATCAATCCCATATCTTTGCTTCATATACACGTCCATATCAGAGTGCCCATCTGCTGCTATCTGCCACATGGCAATAAAGTTGAACAGAACGTTGGTGGGAAGGTTCAACATCTACTGCCATACCACCAACATCCAACCTCATGTCGTGGGACAACATAATAAAATAGGAGGCATTACTTTCAGAGCAGCCCTCATATTTGGCTAGCTGCCAGTATCAAACACTTCAATCTTGCCTTAACAAGGTAGTAAGCATATTTTCAACAGATTAATTTATATATTAAAGCATAAGAAAGACTTTCACTCAACATCAGAAAACCCCACATTCCTTTTTAAACATGAAGTACTCTAATAATCAAGATTTTTTCTGGTGACTGAAAAAAAAAAAAAAAAAAAAAAAAAAAACCTTAGCTGAGAAAACCATAAAATCTAGTTTCTTTGTTAGTACAGATGTAGATGTGATTCAGTGTAGGAAAACATTAGAGAAAAGCAACTCAAAGAAACTACTGAGGTACCCATCAAAAGTACTCATATATCTGCTACTGAAGTTAGCAAGTTAGTACATCTCTGGTTTTCTTTTCCTACCTCAGCAAGTGAAAAAATGTAAATGTATAATTTTCCTAACAGCTCTTTAAACCATTGTCACTAGCAACTTCAGTACAATGATTAAGCCTCAAAGTTTAGTATATAACATTTTGAAGGCTTTTTCTCAAGTTTACAAAATAGAAGAGGATACATTTACCACTGTTAGTAGATTTAAGTCCTACATCCTTCCAGGAAACACTCTTTACTTCTGTTAACAGCATAACATCAATGAAAAAATGTTTCCTGTGGCAAAATGCAATCATTTTAAGAGAATTACTGGGTTTGACATTGGATCCTTAAAAGCATTTTCCAAACAGACCAATTGAGAAACGGTTTTCCTAGGGTTTTCTACACAGACTTTCTAAGCTATAAAGCAGGGTCAATGGCTTCTGTTCAGTCTTAGAATTCATTCTTCATTAAATAAGAAGCATAGTCCACACACACGTACATTAGATATGCATACACACACAGCTTTTAAACATGGCTGCTATGTTTCTACCAAAATATGTATAAAGTACCTTTATTAAAAGATCTAAGAATGATTTCCCCTCTTAAGTGCTATTCACAGGACAGATTCCAAAATTGCTTAATTTATTTATAACTTGTAGCTGACATCCTGCAGCTGAAATATGCTGGTATTCAAGAGGTTAAAGTAACTACTGATCATAATCAGAATAAACATTTGGTTTGCTGCTTGTAGAGTCTCTGAAGCGCTATCCAAAAACACTGCAATGCTTTTGCTAACACAAATCAGAAACTAGTCAGTGAAAACAATCTGTAAACAAACACCTTACACACATTTCAATGCAAAACAAAGCAAAACGCACATACAAAGTTGAAAATTATTTAATATTGAGGTTCTAACAATTCTAAGCGCCCTCTGTGTCACATTAACAGCTGATGCTATCAAACATCATTAGCATAAATTTCAAAAAAGCGCATTTCTAATAGAACTGGAGCAACTATGCAAAATCAGAGAGTATCACTTATATGTACAGATAAATGAGCAAAACCAATCTAATGCCCTGCTAATATCAGAAGGACCCGTCCTACTCATCACTGCCCTGCCAGGCCTCCAGCTCTCCTTGCTCAGAATACAT